TTCAGGGAGGCGTGAAATTGATTCCAAACATTTTCTCTTTCTCCTCTTCACACTGTTTGATCTCTGCTCCCCCAGGACGACCTTTGATGAAATTCAATTTTGAACAACAACACTTCATGCAGCTTTTACAACATCTCACCTGAAGATATCAAACTTTCATCTTTGACAAATTGTTCAGTATCGTTTGGATTTGTTTTTTTAAGTTTTGATCTTTGGATAGGTATCTTACTGTAATTAATATTAATTAATATGTTGTGGGTTTTACGTGCTAAAATGTTTCATCAACTGTCAAACTTGTATTACAGTTTTTTGTGAGAATAATTTTTTTTCTCAAATCTCTGAACAGTTCGTTTGTTGTTCACCACAGATTTGAATTTCTCAGAAATTCATGTTTTGGCACGTGTGCAAACAATCTGCACAACAACCATTTGCTCATGGTATGCTGATCAAAGCTGATGAGTTGATTTTCAGGTTTACATACAAATATGCATATCCTTTTTTCTGTAAAAAAAAGGTTTTATGTGAAGCACTTTGAATTGCCTTGTTGTTGAAATGTGCAATACAAATAAACTTGCCTTGCCTTGTAAACTACAGTATCGACCAGTATTGACTTTTTCCAGTAAACTATCATTCAAATCAGCCTAAAGAGCTGAGTGTGACACACAATCGCATTCAGCTAGACACAATTGACATTCAACAATAAAGAAGAACAAAAAAGGGATTTGAACATAATACGAAACATTTCCAGCGTTGACATGGTGGAAAAACATCTAAACATTTAGACCAGCTCACACAATGACGCTTCATTTTGGTGGAATGGTCCAGTTTACTGACCCAATAGGTTTTAAAGCATGAATGTTACTTACTTACATGTTGTTTGCAGACATGCAATATAGAGGTGTGATGTCCCGTGAAACAGTTGTTACATTTACACTTACAGTTTAGAGAAGTTGACTGTTTCAACAAAAGAACCAAAGCCATTGAGAAAAACTGTAATTAAAACAGCTCTGACTGTCAGACTTTGATGGAGATTCATTTACTGAGACATTTGTGACAGCAGGAACAGACAGAAGCACTGACAGCCTCAGTTTCCGGAGCTCTAGGAGATCAGCGCCACCTGCTGGAGGCTGCATGTAAATACGAAGGTTCACACCAAAATATAGTGTGAAACATATCAGCTTTATATCTTATTTCAAAAAGGATTTTTATTTGGTGAAAGGAATACTTTTATTGGATTGAGGCAGAGTGAAACAACTTAAAAATATAAGACTTAATTAGAAAATTTTCTTGAAAAATGCAATATTTTATGAAATTATCGCCTTTTATTTTCTTAAAGAAAAATCGGATTCACAGTTTTTATGATTGCTTAAACACAATTTTGTGTCAAGTAGAAGAACACCTCTTTTGCCAAATTAAATACTGCATTCAAAATTATACAATAATTAATAAAAACACTATTTTGTTCCCATATGTAACATATTACACGGTTCCTGATCTGATTCTCTTTGAACCAGTTACACACAAAGTTAAAAATCGCAGATTAAGTAATAAATAGATTAATAAAGTAATTTAAAACTTTAATTGTACTATCTGCTTTCACACATTCATCTCTCGAACACAATTTCAAAGAGGGAGGAAAGGAGGAAGGCATCTTACCTTCAATGTGCGTCATGTATAAATGATTTCTCCTCATGCAGCTGTTGAATCACGCGCAACATGTGCTTCGCTCAAAGATCAAAGTATTCAAATGTGGAAGGACTTGCTTGCTTGATTGGGTCAGACTATTCAAAGGAAATGAAAGCTCTCAAATATTGATAACTCAAATGAATAATGGTTTTCCCCTGATCAGAACTAATCTTTATATCATTATTATGGGGGTCGAGATGGTAAATGTTTCTTTGTGATATATTACAGTGCTGAGCAGAGAGTAAAAAAATGTCTTGGAGGCTGTCATGGCCAACATCAGCAGGCAGTTGCTGACGAGGGAGGGTGATCAGCTTGATTACGCTCACCTGGATCTTCCAGGCTATAAAAGCTGGTTTACATGCTCGTTGTCTCTCTCCCTTCCTACAGATGATATCCACCATGCTTTAGCTTCTTTTGGTTTAACACCTTCAACACCTCCACAGCAGACATGCCACACATTAATGCACTATTTCCGTTACTGATGTTGCTGATCTACGCACTCCATTGTTTATTTTCAGTTAACTGTAGTTCAATAAAATGTGTTGCTTTTAAGTATAACCTTGCGTGGTTCCTCTAAGTGCTAGAGGATGCAAATGATGATGGGAAATCATACATTGCTCTTGAGTTTTTAAAATCTATTTTTTTGCTGCTTTGAGCGCCACAAGCTGAGTGTCATATGCTCCCTTGGAGAGAAGGCAGACACATCTGCGGCTGATATCTCTAAAACTAGGCAAGTCACACGAAAACAATCTAGACTGAGAAATAGCACTGCAGGTAAGAGGAAAAATGTGTATTTTTTATTTTGGGGGGGGGGGACCATCCCTTTAAGTATAGTTCTTGAGTAAATGTACTTAGTTACTTCCCACCACTGCCTTAAAGCAAATTAAAAGACTTTATATTTATAGCATTAATATTCTATACAGCGAAGGACTCACACAGAGTCATAAAAGCCTCCTGTGCTCAGAATACAGCTGATGATAAAAACTGAACTTGAATTAAACTGTGTGTCTTAATTCCAGTACAACAGGAGAACTCGGCACATGTCAAAACTTTACAGGACAGCAGCTGCAATTAGGCACATACCTCCAAGGGGTTTTCTTGAAAGCATGTTGTGTTCAAGTAGTCATTACTGGGCCCAGCTGTGTGTTATCAGCCTTTAAAACTGTCAGAAACAGCAGCAGCAGCGTTGGTCTCCTTGAGGTGTGCTGCGCGCTGGAGCTGCTGAAAAGTTGGTTATTGAAAAGCAGGCTACAGTTCTTGTATCCCACAGCTGCAGTTCATTGCTATAATACAACGTTTCAGCTGCGGGAGAGAAAATACAACAGTTCATCATGTAATATTACTTAAATCAAGGTTCTTCACCTTTTAAAAATATGCTTATTTACCAACCAAAGACTGAGTTTGTGGTTCCATTATGTCAGAATTAGTAAACTGAGATTCAGTACTGACAGGGACAAATATTGCATAATGCATCACGTTGTTACATTGATGTGTGACGTGTAAATCGTTATCCTCTGGCTCATAAACCACCGTACCGAAACAACGGACACTAGTTTTGTGCATGATTGTGTTTGAGACTAAACTGTGGGGACAAACATCTTTCACACACTCAGATTATTGGGGATCACCTCCAATCTGGACACAACAATCTGGAATACCATTTATTTTATGGATAACACTTTCTTTTGATTTAGGTTAGCAGTTAGTTTTAGCTAAAAGGAGGTGATAGTCAATAGAATGTCCTTGAAACTTGCAAAAACAAGTGTGTGTGTGTGTGTGTGAGTGTGTGTGGCATGGTGCAGGTAGGAGTTTTTACTGAATTCCTCTTCTTACCGTTTATTGTAATTCAGAGAATGTGGACAACTGTCACATTGTTTCTGGAAAGACCAGTTACCGCTGGGTTTTTAGACATGCTAGCCGTGTCAATCGACCACTTTGATCCAGAATGAAAGCCCTCAAAATCTGAAATTATTCAATACAAAACTAATGCTATTCCCATCAGCCGTAGCTGCACTATTGTGCCTCCTAAACATCAGCATGTTAGCATTGTCATTATGAGCATATTAACATGCTAACTTTAGTAATTAGCTGCGTTAGCACAGTGTCACAAAGCAGCTATCATGTCTGTAGACAATTTTTGAAGCACCGCAATGTTCAATTTACCGCTGGAGTATTTGTAGCAATGATTAAAAAACTAAACTGAATCTGACTGCATGGCTATAGCAGTATGGCTTTTTGATTTGATTGTACGAAGCCTTCTAGTCACACGTTATATAAAACATTGAGCCATTTGGTTAAGACTCGAATCATATAACCAGGGAGCCTCTTTGCTTGTCATCTGCCTCTCTTTCCTGTCTGTATCTCTACTATTATTCTGTAAATTAAAGGCTGAAAAATAAAAAAAATGAATTGCCTCAAAAACCTGCATTAATGCATCTGTAATTGCAGCGTGAGGTGTTATCTAGCACAACACATATTTGGAGATTATGTGTGAATATAAATGTGCAGATGTAGCAACAAAGAGCTATTTTTATAATGGTGGGACATAAACAGGAGCCAGATGGCTCAACTATGTGCTGCGTGTTAGTTAAAACATCTGGATACTGATGTGATGAAATGCTGTGTGCAGATTAGGCTCGCTCTTGGTTAAACATATTCAAAATGTTTGTTGGATGAATAAGACTTGGCGTGGTGCAGTAGTGGTTTGTTGCCATCATCATGAGGTTTTTTACCTTTATCTGTCTGTGACCTCAGTCACAGACAGATAAATATATATAATATAAATATATTATATATATATGTTTAACTGCTAGAAAGACAATTCTGAAGTTTTTCAGATCTGTTTTTTATTTAGAAACCTTATAAAAACGAAAGAGACGAAGCATTATGAGGTTTAGAGTTACAGAAAATGTGAAAAACATTAAATAGGGTAACTCGAATGGAAACAGAGAATGTACAACTGAGAGAAATTCTTGCCCACTAACACAAATTCAAACTACCCCTAATCTATCACACTTATACATACGACTCTTTTCTACAAACATACATACATAAAGTATTTAATACAGTTTCACATGTTCTATGTTGCTTGGTCCTCTTGAATTGTTATCCTTTTATAAAAACAGACCAACATTTTTTAACACCTTTTTAAAAACTGATTAATTTTATAGTTTTGTAAAGCTAACTGATATATTGATGACGTTGTGACAGGTTGCGGTCCATGAAGTCCATAAAGATGGGGGACTACAGAGTGAGCTCCATTTCTGACAGGTAGATCATCTAGCAGATGTTGAATCTGTTGTTATTTCTGAAATCTACTTGTACTGGCTCATGACGCCCCTGAGGAAGTCATCAAACCGTGGGACGGCGGCCTCCTTGGCAGGCTCGTCAGCAGCTTCCTCCTCAGCGGCGGCGGGCTCATCATTAACAGCGGCGGGCTCGGCGCGTCGTAGGCGGCAGTGGTAGTCGAGCTCGGGGTCGCAGTCGGGGTCGGGCAGGATTATGCCATCCTTGGCTGGCTTCGGGGCCCTAACGCCGGAGGGTGCAGTAAACTTGCCGCAGTTGGGGTCGAACGGATGGCAGAAGGGCTTGGCTGGAGCCTTGGCCTCGTAGCCAGACTTCACCGGGGTGCAGTCTTTGTCATAGTGCACATAGCAGTCGTAGCCCTCCATGGTCTTGCCGCGGACGCCCAGCTTGTAGCGGACCTGGTTGATTGATTGATTGATTGGTGTTTTTGGTTCAAAACAGATGCAAAGCAGATCATAGAAAGCAAGTGAAAGCATCATGCAACATCCTTTTAATTTCACTACATCATTTAATAAACCGAAAGAAAAGGAACAGACAGCTAAAAGAACCATTCAACAAACAAGATTAAGCCTACACTAGATTAGTCAAAACATCTATCTGTTGATTCCTAGTAGCAGGACTTCAAATTCAGACCTGGTGCTCGGGCATCTGCGGAGCAGGGTTGCGCAGGGCAGCGGCAGCTGCCAGTATGCAGAACGGGTTAGTGCGAGGGTCGCAGGCCAGAGGAGCAGCAGGATGTGCGGGCTCGTCATGGGGTGCGTACTCGAGCACGGGCTTGGTTGCGGTCAGGGGGTTGCAGCCTCCGTCAAAGAGTGGGTTGCATTGTTGCTCTTTAGGGGCCTCCTCTGCAGCAAGGGGGGCAGCGACGTTGGTCACACACAAGGGATCGACCGCTGGGTCACAGCTGGGGTAGAGTAGGTGGTAGAAGCCAGTGGGGGCTTTGTGGACCAGGGGGGGCATGCAGTAGGGGTCCCTTGGGTCACATTTAAGGGCAGCATAGGATGGGGCTGGGCCAGTGGCTGGGCGGTAGCCATAAGCTGCCCTCAGATGATACTGCAGACACTCCACATCTTCGGGGTTGCAGATCCTCAGCAGCTCAGACCTCTGATCTGCACTCAGAAAAGGCTCCAGGACGGGGGCGTAGTGGTAGAAGCCAGTGGGGGTCTTCATGGGCATGGGCAGCATGGGGGTGAAGATGGGGGCTGGCACCTTGGCTGGAGCTAGCTCAGGCTGCGGGGCAGCAGCATTGGGGAGAAGGGGGTAGAGGCAGTAGGGGTCGAGGTAAGGGTTGCACATCTTGATGGCAGCAGACTTGATGGGGGCGGGCATCACCAACGCAGCCTTTGGCTTGCTGGTGGACTCGGAGATGCACTCTGGATCATCAGAATCGGCGCACGACTTGTAGATTGCGCTAAGGTGCTTGAGGTAGTGGTTGAAAGTTGGGGCCTCCTCTGATCTGTGCTTGTTCTGCAGGTAGGCCATGTACAGACGATCCAGATCCTCAACCTGAAATATCGGTTAAAAAGGGGACGAAATTAATAAACCTGCTTTGATTCCATACAATTTACACCCCATAGAGAGTAAAACTGAACTAAAAATCAAACTAAAAGACTGTATGCGAAGCTCTAGAACGACTTTCAAACACATTCTCTGAGGAGGAATTCTCTTTTCCAGCTCACAGACTTGTTACTCATCCATACAGCCTGACTTTTAAATCACAGAGCTCTCACTGGGACTGAGAAGACATGCTGGAACATGACTTGCATTGCAGAGTAATTGAGTATTTTAAGAGGGCCATGGCATATTAGTGCTTTCATATTGTGATTATCAAAAGCTTTTGAATCAGTCTTTTCTGGCATTGCAAAATAAGTGAAGAACTCTCTTTAAAATGCAAACTGGTTGTAAGGAAAGCTCACTGGGAGGAGCTGAATAATTAATGTGAAACAAACTCCACTCACTCCCTCCTGGTTCTGGCTTTGCATGAAGTACTTGTACCATCCCCAGAAGTCCGGCAGGCGTTTGAACTGGGGCACAGCTAAGACGGGGACGTTCCTTCTGTTGCGAACCAGCATATTCAGGTTCTCCATGTTATCATCATCAGACACTGCAGGCACTGAGGGGAGAGGAGAGGGAAAGAGTGAACTAAATTAAGTGTGCTGGAGCCTGAATTTACAAATGGTGTAAAAAGATTCAATAGATATGTTTTCATTTGTGGAGTATAGAATATGTGTATTTTTATGTCCCCAGACTCACATTGATCTTCCACTGTTTTCCTATTTACAGGCAGAGACAAGCGAGTTTTACTTATGTATGAATAATAAACTTGTATTTATGTGTATTGTAATGTATGAATAGGGGATTTTGTTTGGAGCTAGTGTTCATGTCATGTCACGTCATGTCATGTTTGTATTGTGATATTTAAGTCAACAAACCAAAAAGCTAACTGTGAAAATCAAATGTGTTTCAAAACACATGAGTAGCAAAATCTTATAATAAGTAAATGAGTTCCATGAAGGAATAGTTCAACATTTTAAAAACAAATGCATATTTGCTTTCTTGCCGGGAGCTAGATGAGAAGATCGATACCTCTCCCATGTCGGTCAGTGGTATTGATCTTTTCATCAAACTCTCAGAAAGGAAGCAAATACGCTTCATTTCCCAAATTATCAAACTATTCCTTTAAGATGTAAAAGATTTATGGGCTGAGCTTGTTTGTGTTCAGTTTTAAATAAGTGTTTAAAAAGGTTGTTGTGTCGTAGTTTTTCTTTTTCAGAACTGGAAGAGTTTTGTTTGTGGATAAAATACAAGATGCTCCTTGATATTTGATTTAAATAAATGGATTACATCATATTGTTTGGTGCCTCTTTTATTTTATCTCCACAGGAACAACTTAGAATTCATATGAAGCAACAACTTCACAAAGTGCAGCCTCTGTGAAAACTGTACATTCACAAATGTACTTCTGGCAGAGTTGTTGAATCGGATTAGGGCGGCATCTAGTGATTATTTTTATCATCAGTTAATCCGCTAAACATGTTTGATCAGATTAGGCTAATTAATCGCTTTGTATATTAAATGTCAGGATAAAGTAAATCTTCAAAATGTCCATTACAGACTCCCAGATGCCAAAGAAGATTTCTTCAAAATTCTTTTTTTGATTTTTTTTTGCATAAACAGCAATTTCTAACCCAAAGATATTCAGTTTACTATCATATAAGGCAAAGAAAAGAGGCTGGAACCAGATATAGTTTGGGCCATTTTCCCAAAATAATAATTTTAAAACAATGAATCAATGATGGATATCTTTGGCAAACCCTTTTTCGATTCAGCTCTAGTTTGGACTTCACCGGGTTGAGAGGGTGCGTTGTACTTATTGTGACCACTAAGCATGAAATGTATGTTGTGCTTACTGGCTGAATAGAAGAAAGGAAGATTAGTTGAATGATCCTTTATAACTGGCCATTATTTAAGTTTTAAAGGCACTCTAAACAGCAAATGTGTCCCACATGCCACGTCACACAGGTCCTTACCTTCCTCCTGCCTGCGCTGCTCCACTGGAACGGCCCCCAGAAACTCTGTAAAACACGACCAGCAGCCACATTAGCAGCAGCAGGGACGTTAGCTGACTGGGACCAGATGTTGAGCTTTCCCTCAACATCAGGGAAAATGCTGACCTGCTAATAAGCTCCTGGGTGAAACACGGCAGGTGCTGGGGCTCTGGCGCCCCAGCACAGGCAGCACCCTGCAGATTAAACACCCCCTCCTCCTGCAGACCCCGACGTGCACGCCCTGTTAGGCTTTGAGCCAGACCGGTGGAGCTTGTGCCACTACTGGGGGCCTCCTTAATGTTAACCTGTAAAACTACAAAGAGTGGGCCCTCACAAAAACCAATTACACTGTAGAAGTGTAAGGTGGGAGGGAGGGGACCTGTCGCTGTACATCTCTGTTTCCACATGTGGAGTGTCTTCTGCTCCTCCAGGGGTTTCCTTCAGAAGTTTACGAGTATGAGAAAACAAGCCAAGTCAGCTGATTATGGCGGAAACTTCTGGTCCTTCTAAGTTACTAATGTGGAAAATCTCCCAAAGGTGCAGGGACACATTTCTTTTTACGACTCTAGAAAGATTTACAGGTTGCCTTGCACATCAGCATGGCATGTTATTTTAGTATTAAAGAGATGAGGGAAATGGTGTCTCTATAAATCTGTGCCCCAGATTCATGTGCCAATGCTCAGGGACATAGACAAGATTAAAGAAACACTCAGGTCATGAGCCCAAAATGAGGAAGAAGTACTTAAATCCTATACTGAAGTAAACGTATACAAAACAGTGGTGTAAAAATACAAGTAAAAGTATTCAAAATCCTAATTAAGTTAAAGTACAGACATCGTAAGTATCAAAAGTAAAACTATTTTTTGTGCAAAGATACAAACCATGATATTGTTGTAGATTGTATTATTATATATTATCTCTGATGCATTAATGTGAAAGTAGTATTTTAATCAAAGTGGAGCTTACTTTACCTACATTATATTATATTCTGTTGGGTAGTTTATAATTACCGTGTGTCATGTTTTAGAAACTGGTCATACTTTTTATCTAATCTATCAGATGAATGTATTGGAGTGAAAACACATTATTTTCCTCTTCTACCCCTCTGACCAGCAGGTCACATAATATGGACGCAATCAAGTGGAGTGCAAGTGCAACATTCCACCAAAATATATTCAACAAAGGCTTTAAAAAGAAAAGAAAACTGATTTCTTTTACACATATTTACTTTTTTTACTGAGTACTTTTACCTCCTCCGGCCCCTGAAAATCCTTCAAATGAAATAATCTGAGAAGGTAATATCACGTTTTTTACTTGAAATGAAAAGCGTAACCTGTAAAAAGGTTGCAGGTGGACACTGAAACCAGAGGCTGGGAACCATTATTGTTGTGGAGGAACATTTTTCTTTTATTTTCTTCCTAAAAAAAATTGAATTTTAAAGATGCTTATTGTAAAATTTCAAATTTAAAGTATTGTAGAATGTGAATTACGATGATGCTTCAGGTCATTTAATTCCCAAAAAGACCTCAGTGTCTTCAGTGAAGTGACTACATCCCTCATGCACAGTTATAAATGTTACATTTCCAACCGTCTGCCAACTACATCTTTGTGACAAAGATCAGATAAAGTCATAGATACATTTTGAATCAAGTTTGTAGATCAAGTCTCACCTGGTAGTAAAACAATAGCCAACAGGAATCCTGTGTGGATCAGGAAAAGCGATGGTCGTCCAACACGGGCCATTTTCTGTTTTATGTGCTTCTGAGGTAAAAAGACAGAAACAATATTCACTGATAATGTTAGAACAGAACTGTGTTTGAGGAGGCTTCATAAAGTATGAACTTCTGGTGTTCTACTGTAGCATTACAATGCAACTAGACTTGTTTGTCTTGTTGTTTTTTCAGCAAACTGTTTGATATAGAAACGAAAGACGGTGACACTCGGAACAAAGAGAGAGCTTTTATCTAAATGACTGATGCCAAGACAATGGAGAGGATTGGGGACATGCTGTAATAGAGCTCTTTTTCAGGGATGGCTGAGAGAAAATAGACTTTACTTATGAATGTCAGAATATCAAATAAAAAGACTGAACTTAACAGTCTAACAGCCAAAAGCTTGAAATGTTCTTGTGTCTGTTGAATCACAGCCGCTGTGCTCAAAAAGAGAGATTTTCTTCTGCATGTTTCAGGTTCATAGATCTGAAGACTTTTCATCCAAAGACAATGCCGTTGGAGTTGCAGGCAGTTGCTTTGGCTCTATGAGCTGCACATAAATAAACTTTAGCAACATACAGTATTCACATCAGTCCTTACCTGCAAGGGTGCTGAAGTTCTGGCCTCCTGGGATCACCTCTGGATCCAGTGGCTCTCTGGATCGAGCTTCTTGAGGGGGGGGGGGGGGGGCTTGCTGCACTGTGGTTGCCTGAACTGTCAAAAGCCTTTACCTATGGGACACACAGGCAGCGAAACATTTTAAAGGAGCCCCCTTGATCATTAAAAACAAAAAGGCATGTCATACGTCTCCGGCATGGCGCCGGGATTGGCTCCTGCGCTGCCATCCGTCCGACGAATAGGGGTCCAGTAATTAGGAGAGGTGAGCAGCACGACTGCTTTCAGTGAAAAAAGATTAACAAGGTGCCATTTAGCGGCGTGTTTCTTTCCTCACAGGTTTGGAATTCGAGGTCAACATGCAAGGGGACATTATATCCAAGCCACTAGTCGATTTTGAGATTTGAAATTTACATTTAAAGGGCTGCGTGGGCGCAAACTTAAAAACTAGTAACTGGCAAATCCACACAGCTTGAGGTCTCTGTTACAGTAGAGCATATTTATAAAGAAGTGCGTGAGGCTATCGAGGTGGTGCTGATAAAACTTTCAGGGAAAAACGTAGAGCAAAAGGTAGTCCTGATGTAAGATACATAACACTATAAATCTAGTGGTAAATAACAAGCAGTAAATAACAATAACCTCCTCCACTCCAGCCTGATAAACTCCCTGTTTTTATTACAGTGCTTCATCACTATAAAAACAGTCTCCCTGAAGAAATTCACTGCAAAGAATAACAACTAATATTTCTGAAATATCTACTCTGTTGCATCAGTATTAACAAGCGTGTGTCCAGGATCACAGGTGCGTGACTCATCTAAACACAGTAGTGCAACGCTACATCCAAGCAGAAGGTGCACAAGCCTTTTTGATAATGTTTCCAAACTTGATGTCAGATTTCATTTCATTCTCATTGGGCAGACCATAGATGAAATATAGAAGTGTCAGTGAGAAAACAAGTAGTCTTTTATGCGCTCCCTGATGAGTTTTTTTGTTCTTCTTGCACACGCATGTTTTTTATCTAACAACACAGAGGAAGCTGGAGTCCTGAGGAGAAGTGAGCCACTAATGAAGCTGCTGCTGCTGCTGTAGAGATGCAGAGCCATTAGGACCAGCATGCCAACACCACTGTTTGTTTGGTACAGGCTCCTAAAGCTTGGATTGTGCCACGTGGCCTGCATGTAAAGGCTCCAGCCTGGGGAAAATATCTTCAAAAAACATTAGCTGAAAAGAAGTGGAACAACCGCAAAAGGCAATCTTTGAAGATATATCTTCCCTTTATATACCTAAACAACAAATACATGAAAATATACAATCATACAGTATCTTTGTAGTGCACCCCCACAGCCCCGACAAATTAAGTATTAATGATATGAATTCAGCGACACCACCCATCTTTGACGGTGTTGTTGTCTAAGGACCCATAAAGCGTCTCATGCTACTTGTGAAAGAAAAACTCATTGAAAACACAGACTCTTGTGAAAATGGCGATCCACACCGCTGTGCCTTGATAGAGCCTCACAGAGCTGCTAGCATGGCTATATAGACTCTTAGTCTTGATAATGTCATATAAATTATATAAATGATTGATAACCTCATCCGGTCTAATCTTAGCTTTGTCCTGCACATCCAGAATTTGGGGTTCTTAATTAATAGCGTTCCATAATTGGCATTTAATTCTGCAGAAAGTATTATTTCTGTTCCTTTACGGGTTGAAAGTTGAATTGTGTCTGAACAGGCTTATCACAACTTTCTAATAAAGTTGATTATTTCCTGCTATTACAGACACTTTTGTTAATTGTCCCTGATCCTTGAGCCTGTAAGTGGTTCATTCTACAAAGCTCCATCAGATAGCGCTTTGTGTCTACTGCTAGTACATGCACAATCAAGAGTTTTTACCATTGTCTTCTCCATAACTGTTGGACATTTCTGTGCTGACAGCACTGTTCTCTGTTTTGCTGATTCTGTACAGCAGAGCTGTTAAAAACCTGCAGTTTGCATTTTATCCTCTTCAGAAGCCTCTTATCAGTCTTGTGCTGAACAGTAATAAAACACAAATATGCTGTTGGCCAAAACTAGAAATATTATTTACCTTCACATCAGCATTCTCATTGGCAGGCTACTCATATTGAGGGAGCCTCTCGTTATACAGTAATATACTGAAACTGACAATGAAAAATACTTCAAATCAGAAACTCACACAACTGTTTCTTTTTGACTGTAGTGATGTAATCTATAGGCCCATAGCTGCAGCAAAATTTGTTTTGAATAACGACAATCAGACACAGTTATGGCTTCATATATACAAAACACTATTTATTGATTTTTTATCACGAAAAAGTGCAGATGCACAGACTGCTGTACACTTATGTGCAAATTCATGACACAACCGAACACACTGCAGATATAAAACCAAACACAGAACGTATGCGACTATCAGACACTGTCATTCAAATCATTTCAGCAGACCATCATTCATCATATGCCATCTGCAGAATGTTGAAGGGCGGCAGCATATGGAGCCTCTGCCCATCACATGTATAATTACGCTGCTAACAGGTGTTCTCCAGCGCACTGAAACCTGCAATCCAGTTCAGAAGCAGTCGAAGACGTGAGCACGATACAGGCTCATAATTTGAACATACCGTATATGAAGAATCCTTGGGATCCTAAGAATTTCACAACATCTGGAGCTGGTGATGGACTTTTTAAGGATGTAAGCCTGAAACTAGGACAACTATGACAGTAAATTGTATGTAATTAGACAGAAAATGGTTGGTTTGCTTTCCACCAAAAAAAAAGAAGAAGATTGGTAAGTGGCGAGCATATCATCGATCAATTCCAAAGTCTCTGTCACTGGATGTCATCATCATCAAACAGATCCTCAAAATCTGTGGAAACAAAAAAACAAAACAATTATTAAAACTACAGTCTCATGACAGCCGGACAATGAAACACTGGCTGTATTTCAAATGTGTCTGCAAGCCAGACATTTTCTCATAAAGCGTTATAGGTTGAGAGGGTTGGAGGGTGATAAAAGTAAAAGGATCGGCCTTCCTGTGGGTCTGACAGTTTGTGAGGTCAGAGGTCAGCGGCAGAAGTGTATGAACATGCATGAGAATATGTGCCACATCCTCTGTTTATGCCGGTAGCCTTCATTTAAAGGGCCATTGTGTAGGATTTCTGGGATCTATTGACAGAAATGGAATATAATATTCGTAGCTAGCGTCCTCTTCACGCCGCGCTGCACCGCCATGTTTCTACACAACCTCAGAACGGACAAACCAAACATATGTACTGCCAGTACTGCCCGTCGCCGTCTGACTTCTGTTGCTCCTAAAGTAGCGTTATTATGGTATGGATGGTCTCCGAACGAGGCGAACGTTATCGGCTCCCGTTACCACAGTCTTACAAAGGGAGGAGTGAGCGCGGGCGTATTCAGATGGCTGCTATCTGCAACCACACCACTAGATGGCACCACATTCTACGCACTGTCCCTTTAACAGTCACTATGATCCAATAGTGGAAAAATAATAATGAAAAATAAGCTTTCATCAGTACTTCAGCGACTATTGCCGTCATTCTTTTCATATTCTTTTGTGCGTTTTTCTAGAGAAGCAACGTTCAGTCAATCAACAGAAAATGAGTCGGCAACTATTTTGTTGATCGATTCCTCATTTTAGTAATTTTATAATCAAAAAATGTCTAGTTACGGATTCACAAACATGAGAATTTTGATGCTATTCTTCAACATATTTGATAATAACAACAGTAATTCGGTAAATTATTACTCGTATTTTTCCCCATTTTAGACACTAAATGAATCAACTTTGAGAAAATAATCACCAGTGTTGGTGAATATAATCAAAGCTTGCAGCACTGGTGATTACCGGGTAAAATAAAAACTGATGATTCTTTTAATTTTCAATTGTTCTGCCTCAATTGTTTGATCTGTAAAATGTCAGAAAAGCTCAATGTGATATCTTGTCTTGAATAATGTTGTTTGATCAGCAGTCCAAAACCTAAATACACCTAAGTTACGATCACAAGAGACAATAAAGCATTGTGTTTATTACATTTCTGTCTAAAAGACGAATGCGGGTTGATTTTCTGTCAACAGATTGATCAACTAATCTTTTCACAGTGAGAAAAACAAAAGGGAGGAATGGGCTCTTGTTGTATTTATAGCTAATCTCTTGAAATCTTAGTTTAAGTAAAAAGAAAAATGTGATAAGAAAACATCTTGTGATCCCCGTGTACTTTAATTTAAACTTTAAGAGGTGTTCTATTGTGGTGTACAAGTACCGTCTACAGTACATTTTGTGCAGACTACACACAAGAATTTGCACCGCGTTTGTTATCCACAAGTCCTCTTTGTGCACAGACGGCTGTTTTAAAAGGTGTCATCAAACACTCAGAACATAGAAATCAGACAGTACATGACAGAAAAACAACATTTTGGCTCTAATTAAAAGCCTTCACAAACCTACAATGTAAGACAGGTACGCTCAGGTGAAAAAAATCCTTCTGTCATGTTGTAACTGCAGAAGAATATGTTTCTTCTGAAAGTCATATACACTATTAGCCAAAAACATGTGGCTGTCCATACGTACATTATCACGATGTTGCCACAACGTTGGAAGCACCAAAATATCCCTGTTTGCATTGAAGCATTCTGATGGTCAACCCATATTAACTGATTAACTGTTTCCAAAAAGATGAAATCATGTTTTACTTTCAGTAGCAGTTCAATTATACTGTAGTTTCCTGTAAGCCTCCCTAGAAAGTAAAAAACATTACAAACATGAGGACTAGACGTAAAGTGCAACACACTGAAGTTATGTTTCCACAAAACCGCTGTAGCCTGAATATTTCAGTGGGAAATAACACAAATTAGCCACTTTTGTCACTTTTGTGACTGTGAAAGAACTGAGCCAGTGTGACACTGATTGTTCAACATTTTAAATCCTTTTATAAATGTAGGCTGGGGGATTTGGGAGCTGCTTTCAATACGCCTGGAGACAGTTAAGTGGTACACATCTCGATCAGAAGGGAATAAAGCCTGCCACCCTAAATTAGCCTCATACAAAGCACATCCACAGAGCTCCTGCTGAGAAGTCTGCGTGGAATCTGTGTCGCATTTGGCAAGAAGTTGTGGACTTTTGATTTAGCTGCGCCTCGGGACAAGAGATCACACTACATTATAAAACACAGTTAGAAAAAGGGGGGCGGGGGTGAAAGGAATGTTTTGGGGCCAGTAAAGCGATTTCCTGCTGTGAAACCAGCGGCGCTCTGACGCCCAAAAGTGAAATAGCATCACGTACTAATAGATTCAATCTGCCCGGACTATTTCCTATTTGAAGATGACTGACTCCTCCTCAGTTCACTTCAGATTACCTGAGCAGCTAAATTCATTTGCACTGAAACATGATCTATTTGTAACATCCTGTGAGAGGATCAGTAGAGCCAAAGGCTTGTAAGGCTCCGTCTGTTCATAAAGACACCTTTCAGAAAACAGTGACTGCATGCGGTCAAATCCAAACACCAGATTCAAATATCAGACTCTTGATATACAATCTGCCGAGCAGCCTGAAGTCCAAAGTTTCGAGGTACTAATGTTGCAGGAAAAGGACACCAGAACAGAGCATTTCTAGTATCCACAACATCCAGTGGTGCTGTAATATGACCAGTGGCACCGACCAACTGCTCTACTTGGGCCCCAACTCCTCCCAGATGAAGGCAATAACTAGAGTAATAAACTTTGTCATCTCCAGGCACATGAAGCATTCTTGAAATGCTGGACACGCACCGAGTCTGCAGCATTTCAACGAAAAATGCATCTTTGGAGACTAGCCCAATGTATCATTATTCATTGTTTAGTATTGATGTGGCAGTACATTATGGCAATTGCCTCACAATTCTTATATTTCATGTGATATGTATGAAATACTTTCAAATCTTAGATGAATTGTGACTTAATCTTAGCTAAACTGACTCAATGTATCTTTGAACTGCTGTGTATCAAATATTTACACATTTCTTTTTTCAATCAAATCATAGACCAGGTGTGTGTATTGAATTTTCTGACAAGAATATAGTACATACACAGCTCTGGTATCAAAAAGGGGGTATTTTTCTATTATAATTGGATTACTGTTTAAGTAAGGCCAATGCCTGCAGATAACGTGGACTAACTCAGCGCACAACAACATTAAATCTGTATTTCCTCAATATTTTATGAGGGGCTCAAGTAGATTGGTGGTTTTGCTGTTGATAAAAAGGTAAAGAATGGCTAGTTGTATCTATACGAAGAAATTGTTTACCATTGAAGAAGTCTGAGTGAACGGCCTTTTCATTGGCAGCCAGGTCCATCAGCAGTCCTGTGCTTCCCCCAGCCTGCCAGAGAACAAACATGCAGCTCAGAGGCACACATTCTACCCAAGAAAGACAGCCATGAAAACAGACAATTACTAATACGGACATTTTGTTTGGATACATTTGGCATTATGATTTAGTTGCGGTCCAACATAAATCTGAAAAGACGGTATATGTTGTACCCTTATGTGATGGTTTACACGGTAGATAATGATAAACCCTACTTCTGAATACTTCACAGCCTGACAATCCAAGAGGCAGCTTTTTGTCAAACTTTGTTTATTGGCCAAGTATGTGTGTACACACTTTAAAAGGTATTTGACTCCAGCTTTAAGTTGCTCTCAATGCATTTACACACAGAACCATTTACATGAAGGTAGAAATACACATACAGCTTAAAAACAAGGACAACGAAGCTGAACGGAAGGAATTTGCCTTGGTGTATAATATATATATATAATTTTTATATATATATATATATATATATATATAAAAAAGGAGTAAATTATAGGGCTGTCCTCGACCAAAGAAATTCTTGTCGACTAACACTCATGCGATTTGGACAATTAAACAATTAGTTGATTTAATCGACAGGTCTGTAAAACTGAATTTCTCCACAAAGAATCACACAAAAGCACCACTTTAAAACTTGTTTAAACCTGAGATGTGCTCATACGTTTTATGGGAAATAAGTCATTCAGCATGAAAAAAAGCTTTAAAAATGACTGATTTTACTCGACTCAAATCAAAACGACCAACTAGTCAACTAAAAGGCAAGGAACATAAATATTGAATATGCAGAAGTTCATAGTATAAAGAATATGTTTAATGCATGTAAAAAAGTCGGAAAAATAGAAAACAAATAACTATTATGTATACAAGTCATGCTGCGTTTACATTAACATTAAGATTGTTGTTGAAATTATTATTGTTTTAGCTATTATTTGCAACATTAAGCAGTTAACGTTAAACGATCATTCAACTATTAACGCATAAGTCTGTAAAAAAGGTTAATAACGGCACAGTCTAGTTGTTACAGCTAACTATAACGTTACGTAGCTAACGCTAACTGCACAACGTTACGTAACTAACGCTAGCTGTATACGTAGCTAACTAAGCTAATGAGTTAGCCCGCTAGTTAGCTAACACACCTCATCCAGGTCAACGTACGGTCCCGCGCCCTCAGGAAACATCTCATCCACTGCTGGTTTCATGGCGACCGTCGAGTTTGACTGATCCTTTAGTGGCATCGATGAACCACGGGGTCTTATCGCCAAATATTCATAAAATAGTAAGCTAAAGAAAGCTACACAAAAGTGGCTACACACAGCCAAGCTAATGCGGTGTCGGGTCAAAATAAATCCGACGTTAAAGTCGAATGAAGACACGAAGGTTCCGCTGCCAGTTTAAGGTGAGCTATAATGGGTAAAATGGTGTCATCAATTATTTTATATACACACAGGTTTTAATATGTATGTTGTCCAGAAGTCACCAAGGAAACCAGTTTGTTAATTAATTCAAAGTACTTTTATTTATTTTGCTTTTTGTGATTTGAGCCGTCAAATGCTGCCAAAATAATTATTAAATAAACAAATAAATAATACACGTAGACCTACATGTTGTGAGGTTAACAATGTATATACTTGACACCTTTAATACAAAGTTTGTTTGTTTCTTTATCTTATTATGACCACTCCCATTGTCCTGGGTTCATCTTTTTCATATATGTTCACATTATGTATGTATCATTTTGTCATATGGATTGTTTTTACTGAGGGTTCTTCTAATCTTTTTCCCCAGTTAAAGAGGTTTGTTTCAGGAGATTTTCATTGACTGACGCGAAGGTCGAGAAAAGACAGTGGGTGTCGTATGTGGACAGATTGTAAAGCCCTCTGAGGCAAATTTGCAATTTGTGATATTCAGCTATATAAATATAAATTGACTTGAATTGACATAAAGTTCAATACCACATTACAATACTACAATATCGCTTTCAGTTTAGTACTGTAGCCTACCATTTGTTTATACATGACATAAACATTACTGGCAACCTTTAACTCTAAATCTTCTTCAGGGTACAGTTGAAGGGAAATAGTGTGTGTGTGTGTGTGTGTGTGTGTGTGTGTGTGCGTGCGTGTGTGTGCGTGTGTGCGTGTGTGTGTGTGTGTGTGTGTGTGCGCATTAGGGGCTATAGAAATCCTGCACACTGATGTTCATACTAAATGTTTTGATTAAACAGATGCTGCACAGAATCAAAGAAGATAAGTAAGTTTCACTGACGTTTATTGACTCTAATTAGATGCTGTAAGTTTGTGGTCTAACAGATCAGATTTACTCAGTATTATTTGATTCCAACATTCATTCATCAATATGTTTCATTATGACAAAGATAGCAGCTTAAATGGCTTAAACTGTGCAGAACATTATGTATTATATAATATTACAAACAGGGAGGATGCTTTGAATAGAAAGGCGGGTATGACTATTTCACTTACGCTGTTAAAAACACTCACGTCATCAACTATAGTGCAGAGTATATAGGCATGCAGTTGTTTTGTGCTGTAAATATTTTTGTCTTTAAAAGGCAGGAAAGTTGTGTTCCACACATAAACAAACTGAGTTGAGTCTACCTCCACTACATCCCTCCTCATAATCATCTTGATATTAGTGAAAGCTTTCTATGGAACAGATAATAAATCATTTTCTCTCCTGTCAACAACAGCACCATCTTGTGCTGCATTTCCATCGCTGCTCAGAGAGTTTTGTCGCAGTCCTTCTGCCTGCTGGGAGTCATCCTGCTCACGTCGATGTTGTTCTTCGCGAAGATCTCCATGGCTTTCTCGACGGTGGCCTCCGGCAGGGTCCGTGTTCGGCCCAGGATCCAGGCGAAGTCGACGTGGAAAAGCCTCAGGATGTCAGTGCAGGAATACACCAGGGCCGAGTTCACGTAGTCAGTGGACAGGATCCAGTAAGGGGAGTAAGGCAGGACTGTGATGGTAACAAGCACAAAGCAGGAATCAAAAATAGATGGCCGACAATGTTTTCTCCTGATTTGACACAAAGAGGAAAAATTAAGAGGCATGTTGTTGTTAAGAAGTCCACTAACATCATCAAATGAAATGTCTCTAAAATGTCTCTAAAATGTCTCTCTCACCGTAGGAATAACTTATTCCCAGTTTAGCCGGATTCTTCATGTCCTCTATGACTCCAGTCCCTTCAATTTTCCTCACCTCTGCTTTTCTGTTTTATTCCACACAGTCAAATTTCATGTTGGAATAAGGGAGGACTTACACACCATGCAAATATTACCTCTAGAATCCATATTCGCACAAAGAAAATTGCAGATAGGACTCACAGTATTTCAGAGCTGACCACTCGAATGGAGTTGTCTGTCTTCAAAGTGAAATTGGTTTCAATGCACCGGCCCTTCTCAAACTGGGCCGGCAGTTTGGCAATTTCAAACCATCTTCCCATGAACTGTGAGGGCAAAGACACACACGAGTTCAAAGACAATTCAGAGCGCTGTGAGCGGAGAGTACGTATAAATCTACATGCTTTAGTGGATTCAGTAAAAATATTTTTACCACTGATTACATTTACTCAGTTATTGTACTTCAGTACAATCTTGACTTCAACTTTCCATTTCATGCTACTTTACACTTCTACTCAACATATGACATATATATACTATATATATACATAATATGCATAATATGCTATACATAATCTTTTACACATTTGAAAAACACACTTTATAGCAGTGGTTCATGCGGAAAAATACAGTTTGCAGTATTTTTTGAGATATAGCAGAAGAGAAAAGCTGTTCATGTCATCTACCACCATGGGACACCGCTGGGCATCAGTCTGGCAATTTATTCATAATTTTCTCTTCGAAGTAGCTTGGACCTGTTTTAGGATGAAGGCCGGTTGAACCGCTGGCTCTGGACATGGACCCCAATGGGGAACCTGAGCCCTGATGAGCGGGAGGATGAAGGCAAAAACCACAACGGAAAATAACTTCATAGTCGAAACAGGCCTTTGTTGCCTGCAAGAGGACAAGGATTTCACAACATAAAAAATAATATAAATCAAATAAAGTCATATAAAAAGTAAGTATTTTAAATGTGAAAGTTTACTTGACGAACATTTTTCTATACAATTTCATTAAACACAAAAAATACAACATCAATTTAGGCTAATGAATAGCATTCTTCCTTACAAAGAAGTTTTTAAAATGATAAGTGAGTAACCTGCCATTCTGTTATTCATTTACATCACCAAATATATGTCGTTACCTCTGTGTCCTGGCAGTTCAGATGTATGTTCTCTCCCTTGGACAAATTCTGTTATTTGAGTTAGAGACGTTGCTCTCCGTGAGGTTTTGCAGCACTGTGACGTTGTGTTGTCAATGGGTGTCTTTGTGTAGAGCCAGCTTTATTTCTCACATGAAGTAAGCTATTAGCAAAGTGGAGTCATGGGTGACACACCAGTAGAAATGTTATGAAACAATCAGGATGTTCTTCTGGTTTAGGTGGGAAGGAAAATGAATTCTTTTTTTTCAATAAAATATTTGAGGATTTCTCAGGAGCGACTCAGACGTCATTTTTAATGTGGATGAAAATAGATTTAATGTATTTTCAAACCGTAGAAATAAAGCGCCCCACTTAGTCCTGGTTGGACAAAGAAACTGATCAATTAGATTCAGCTTAATTCAATAATATTTTGTCACATTCTTGTCACAGCTCATTGATGCTCACTGTTTTTTTTATCTATGCTAGCGACGTGGCTCTTCAGTTGGTAATGTCGGTCTTTCCGCCCACTGTTCTACTGGTTTGCAAAGACAATTTCTACTTTAAACATCCCCAGACAATGAATCTTAATGACTTTGGTGATCCCCTGACTTTTCATCTATACAGTAGTTATACCATGAGGCTCACATTTGTATTTTGAAGTGAAATGTTTCAACAACTATTTGATGGATTCCCATGAAATGTGATTCAGACATTCATGTTACCCAAAGGATGAATTGTTGAAGCTTTGGTGATCTTCTGACTTTTCCATCTAGTGCCACCAACCGGTTGGCATCTGTAGCTCAGTGTGACAACTATTCGGTGGGTAACCCATTACCGTGCAATGTGGTGCAGACATACATTTTTATTTGCTTCTGTTCGATCCACTCACTTTACATCAGGCACCATCATTAGGTTAGGCAGTAATCTGGGTGGGGAAAGTACCACCACCACAAGACACAAAACAGAAAAGCGGCTCATTGGCCAGCAGATTACACTGTGGTTCAAAATGTGAACGTGTAATTGTGTGAGTGCAATCAGGGCATCAAAAAATTACTAAATGAGCATTACAACCTCCGAGGCTAGACTCTTCGTCTTGTTTCATAATTGCACAGATTATGTGGCATTGGTCTCATAATGTTTGACACATACATTCATGATTCTTACGGCCACATATTTTTCCCTTGTCTGACCTTTTTTGCCCAGTGTGCTGTAAGCTGAAGCCTCTCTGCTGCTCTGTGTTGGTTTTCAGCCATTCTGACTTAGTGCAGGAGCATCATTTTCACACATGCAAGGTTTTAGCATGCGTTGATTTGATGGTGGCTTGTGTCTGCAGAGGAATGGACTGTTTTAGTCTTTTACACATTGAGCTGAACAATGTAAAAGTAATTATACAATGATATATTATATATATATCATTGTATAATTACTTTTACATTATATTCTACACATCATTCTTTATCAAACTAAGAGTTGTCATTTCTAACTTAAAACGTAGTTTTTCATCCTGGCAATGTGAACAAATTCAACTACATTAGTAAATAAGTGAGTTTACTTTTCTTTGGTATCAACTTTACTGTAATACACATATTCATACACACAAGGGGCTGCAGGCATTTCAATGCTGCTGGTTGGCCTTATTTTTCTTCATATTTTCTTAAAATGATTGATCACATGCTCATGCAGTTTAAGTAAGTGTGTACATGATGAAGTGCTGAACGTGTGCCAACTTAATCAATTAATTCAAAAAGTCAGGATCATCCATCCATCATTGAATTTGGCAGCGCTCATGCTCCAAACACAGCAAAATACACACAAAACATGAAATTATTTGAACTGAACTAATTTAAATTTCTCAGTGTATAGCTCAGCATTGAAATATGTGAAATGTCCTGGTGCAGTAAACCACAGCTGTTTAACACTCAACACGGATTATACCAAACACTGTCAATTAAAAACAAATCCCGTTTAATGCTGTCTGCTTTCACACGAAGCCCCACGGCTACAAACAAGGTTCAAATTAAAGAAGAGAAAGATCAAAAGGCTCAATTTTCAGCTAATACACTTCAGAGAGGAATGACTTGTTAGCTGCACCCGGAGACATCAAAGCTAGTTGAAGTTGAAGGTTTTTCCCTGGATGAAGGCAATGAGCCTGACTGGCCAGTAGAGGATCAAAGAAGGACCAGACAACACTGGTTCACTGGCTCAAAGATGGAGAAACAGATTTCAGAAATTTAAAAGAAAATAATACTACATAATGTGAAAAATAATATAGGATTAGCTACTTTGTTAGACTCCGCTGTGCTTAGCATTAACATGTTAAATTAACTGTTAGTATATTAAACTTTCTTTGATTCATATATCAAATAAATGTAGAGGAGTAAAAAGTGTAATATTTCCTTCTGAAATGTAGTGAAGAACAATAAATTGCTTTGATATGAAAAGACTCAAGTAAAGTACAAGTGCTTGAAACATGCACAGTACTTGAGTAAATGTACTTAATGGCATTCCACTGAACCTTCCACCACCTGGCCCACATTCAGATTTTTCAAACAGGTGTAATTAATTATATCACCATTGTGATCTGTTGTTCATGCGGGCTTATTGGCAAACATAAATGAAACTGAGCACCTGTTAATGTTGTCAGTTACCTCAGCGTTTTTCCTGCTTTGACACAAGTGTTTGCAATAATTGGAAGTGGAATAGGAAGTATTTAACTTACATCACATCACATTACATTACATTACATTACATTACATTACAGTTATTTAGCAGACGCTTTTATCCAAAGCGACTTACAATAAGTGTATTCAACTCACTTACAATCAATCAATCAATCAATCAATTAGTCAATCAGTGTTTCTCAAACTAATGTCAGATCCAAAACGCACAGTAGAATTATTAAATGTGTGTTTGTGGGATAAACATGCTACAGAGGAACATGAACAGACATGACTGACAGGGTGACATGGGTCATGTTGGGGCTCCTGGCACCTGTGTACACACACACATACACACACACAATCACACGCACACACAAAAACTGAAAGTTAAGCATGTGGAAGTGAAAATGCGGTAACGTATGCCGTAACACACAAATACACACATGACATAAACCTTGGGAATGTTTCCTTCTGCTGCTGAGGGATTTTGGGCTATGCAAATGAAGTGAATTGAATTGAATTGAAATTGAATGGATGTACATTACAGACATTTTGCTATTATAAAACAAGATCCATAGAAACAACTGTAAGAATCAGCTAAAAGTAATTACAACCTACACACCTGCTCATAATTACATTTAAATACTGAACACATGCACAACGACTCTCTAACTCGCCCTGTTCCGCATGTTAAACAAGCTTGTTTCTTTGTAAAGGCTTAGAGTGCCAATTTAAGCATGTCATGCTCCATAGAACACATATTTTAAAGGAAGATAAGAAGCATCTATATTTTATCATTACACTTGATTAAACATTTAGCTAGATATGTATTACATTGCATTTAGTACACTTCATCTATTTAACATTTGCTTCATGAAACAAATAATAAGTTAGTTGTATCACCACAGTGACTGAGCTGACTGTTTGGTTAAGCTGATACAGTTGGTGGTTATCCTTTAACAAAGATAAGAAACCCATTGCTTATATTTTCATGGTTTTGGTCAAACATGCCTAAGAATGTGTCACACTGGAGGGTCAGAGGTCATGTCTCAGGTGACCATCCACATTGTTTTGACCGTACGAGTGTAAAAGAAAACACCGGCGATCGATAGAGCCGCTGACTTTCCATTCATCCGAAACAAAACAGTTCAATTGCAGATTGTGTTGCAACCGAGATCAATGTATCTGGAGTATATATCTTTTGTTTAGTATCAGAGGAATGCAGGTGAACTGGAGGATAAAAAATATGCTTTTTATATATTTTTAGCCAAATAAATTGGTTCCATATTAAAGTAAGCAGTTAATGTGGATTTTGTTATGCTATAACTGCTTAAACAGTATAATTTGAGATTTAGTATGTATAGAATTTTAATATGGTATGTGTTTGGTATTCAATATTGTCTTTTTATGTTAAATGCAAGAAACCTGATGTTTGAATTATAAAAATAAAAAAATGTTGGTTGATCTTTTCATCCCTGACAAACTAAAACTCAAACTGGCCTCGAACCAAAGGGCATATCTGCCTCTGAATGTTTTTGACAAAGCTGCAAAAAAAACCTTTTCTTAAAAAGAGGTTACATCATTTCTGCTGGGAGACCACTGTATGACAACATATGTAAATTATTATTAATAGTTGAGACAATAGTTTATTCTCTAATACATTGCCAGACCACACATTAGAAAACTCAGGATGTAGATAATGCATTGAAAGTGATGATAAACCAATTAAAATTAAACTCAAAGCAGTTGTTTATCACGATACACTGCAGTTCTGATTCTCAGCTCTTTGTCTGATTCTGTTTTCTACATATCTGCTGTTGATAAACCACTACGGACTGCTTCAGTCACAACCCATTTCCCGTGCAAAGTGGTTTCCAAGGCCCTTGCAGCACCTTGTAAGAGCAGGGCAGGGATTAAAAGTGGATACAGAGAGCTGCTGTGGGAGCATCAAGAAAACCAGGTGCACCTGTGCCCAATTAATCTTTCCTCACACATGTGTGGGCTTTAGTAAACACTCAGATGGCTTGAAGTCAATAAAAGCGGGAAGATGCAGTAAGTGTTCATCTGAGACAGCACTTATGTTTGGAGATTGGAAGACTGATGCTGGCAACATTGGAGCGATGTTGTTGTTGTTGGTGGTGATAAAAACCAGAATGCCTACTTTTAATGTCCGTCCTGGTAAAAGGAAAGCGCTGCTGCTAAAATACATTTACTTTGTTTAGGTAAATGTAAAGGCAGGTGGGAAATACCTTTATTCACTGTCTTGCTTATGAGAAAATCAATACCACTTTCATCTTTGTCCAGTAAACATGATGCTAGTGGGTAGTTAGCTTAGCTTAGCTTAGCAGAAAGACTGGAAAAGGAGGAAACTGCTAGCATGGCTCTGTAACAAAAATCTGTCTTTCCAGCAACTCTAAAGCTCACTAATTAACACTTTATTGGGTTTGTTTAATATGTACAAACAAATTAAATGTGAAACAATTTCTGGTTTTAATTTAGGTGATATAATTTACTTTAAGTCTCCCCTTGGTTTTTGCTTGGATTAAAGAGCATGCTAAGTGAGCTTCAGAGGTGAATACAGATCCAGGGTAGCTGTTTCCCCCTGTTTCCAGTCTTTATGCTGAGCTAATGCTAAGCTAACCAAGCTAGCTGTAGCTTAATATTTACCAGACAAACATGAGACCAATATCTTCTAATCAAGCGAATACACACATTTCTCAAAATGTCTACACTGTTTATAACTATTTCTTAATAATTAAATGGACACTAAGAGTTCCGGGTGATTCATGCAACCATCTCTCACTAACATGAATAGCATACAAACTATCTTGGGGATCACGATTTTGGGAAGAACATGTAAAATATTTAAGCCATGCAAATGAGCAGACGATAAATTTAAACTCAAACAAATCTAATTAGGGGAAAGTCCACAACATGAAAAATGCATTTCTTTAGTTCACAGAATATTAGTTTGGTGCCTTTGATACTGGTTTCCTCTGGACTGGAGCGCTGAGATATTTATATATTTTGCATCTTGTTTGTGCTTATTATTCATCTTGTGTGTAATTTTCACATTTATCTTGTTGGTTTTTAGCCAAGTTTCCTTTTGGGGGGGGGAATGGATACTAAAAAAGAAGGTTGGTTTCACTGAGATGAATGGAGGAGATGCATCTTTACTTCTACAAAGATCAGGAGGTGTGAGGCCTGTTTGAACAGTGTCTTCATTTGAACAGGTGCCAACTCTCACGCTCACTCCCCCTCCAACACATTTACACGTAACACAAGAGGAGGTGCTAAAGAATGTGATCAATGGGGTCCTTACATCTATAAAATATCCTTGAAACTGAATGAGCTGCACACAGGTAGTAACGCTGATTTACATACAGGTGAACACACTGCAGCCACGACTCTTCCTCCTCACCACTCCTGCTCTTTCCCTCAAGTTAACCCTCAAAGATGAGCTTGCAGGAGCAACCTGCCTGATGTAAAGCTGATTGTCTCAATAATCTTGCTGTTTTGTTCTCTGCAGGTCGTGTTGATAAGATGAAGGCCATGCAGGTGATTTTCTTGACTCTGCTGTCTGTTCTGGCAGCCAGCGCTCAGGTGTTTAAGTTCGGCAAATGTCCCAAACCAGCTGTTCAGGCCAACTTTGATGCTTCCCAGGTGAATACTAAAGTTGCCTTTCCTTTGCTACCAATTAACATTATGTAAAGCATGAGAACGTTGCCTGTTTTGCAACAATTACATTTTTTCTATGTGTGAAATCCTGTGTTTCTTCTGCAGTACATTGGTAAGTGGTATGAGATCAAGAAGCTGCCAACATTCTTCCAAAAAGGCGAGTGCGGCACTGCCACCTACAGCCTGAAGAGTGCTGGAGTCATCGGGGTCCTCAACAGTGAGCTGCTGTGAGTACATGCTGCCTAAATGCCCACATTTTCTGATTTCAGGGTTTGAATATACTCCTATTGTTAAAAAAAAAAAAAGGTGCTGCTTAAACTCTATAATGTTGGAACTACAAGTAATCAGTCGTTGTCATTGAAATAATAATTATCAGAGCAAATGAGTATTCAGAGTATTTCTATCCTCTAAGTTAGTGTGTAATTCCACAATAAACATCCCTTTTGATGTAATTTTTTCCACACAAGGCAGTGTATTTCTATTGCAACATTGTGCTTTTATTTTTAACTCGGGTGTATTGAATCCTCGGCCCTGCACCATGAACACACAGGATCACTAACTGATCTTTGACACTGTTTCAAGTTAGTAAAGGAAAATAATTTGGTGAAATTAGATGAAGACTTAGACGTGAAAGAAAATGCGTGACTAAATGAACTTCTGTTTGTTTTACCTCCTTTTTTAGTGACGATGGAACCATTAATTCTATCGTCGGCTCTGCCGAGGTCAAGAACCCCTCTGAGCCTGCCAAGCTGGAGGTCTCCTTCTTTGAAGGTAAAGAAGTTTCATTACAAATATATTCAAGTTCGGTCAGTGAATCTGAGTAGTATCTTTTGTATATAATATTCCAGCGGCTTTGACTCTCGTACTTGTCTCTCCTGCAGGAACTCCTCCTGGTCCCTACTGGGTGCTGTCCAGCGACTACGAGGGTCACGCTCTGGTCTACGGCTGCGTCGACTACGGCCTGTTCCGCGCGGAGCTCTCCTGGATCCTGAGCAGAGAGCCCACCCTGCCCGAGGAGACCCTCGAGGAGCTGCACGGCATCCTGACCTCCGTCGGAATCAACGTGAACAAGATGGTCCCCACCAACCAGGATGAGACTTACTGCAGCGCCATGAACCAGTAAACAGAGATACTCTGTTTCAGCCTCTACAGGACTGAGACAGGGCGACTTGGATCCATGACGAGATAAAAAACAGCTGTATGCAGTGTGTGCTGCGCCTCCTCGCCCTGTAGATACCTTATGTCATTGCAATAAACCTGTAGAAAGAAATGCATGTTGTGGTGTGTTTTTGTCTTTAGACCTACAGGGCTTATTCTGAACTACAAAGGCAAATGAATACAACTCACGTTTCATAAAATTTTAATAATCGGTGTGAAACACGCACATCTTCTTTACAAGACTAGATGGACTAGATGGTGACAATAAGACAACATAAAGCTTATAGTCTGTCACCAAGCAACAGAAATACTCCTTTGGGATCAACGTCTAACAAGCAAACAATGCACATTTAAAACACACTGAAACACATACATAAAAAAGGAAAAGTTACAGTTGACTAGAATAGTGTTAGCAGTGAGGGCACGGAGCCTATTTTAATTTGTTCAGGGTGAAGATCGTAGAGGATTGTAAAAAAGATTGTCATTTATTATCTCTCTTCATACAGTGGCCTCCATTTATTGGTGTTTTTGATAAATACATGAATAAACACAAATACCTGCTCACTACAACATTATGTGTTATAAACCAATTATTAAATGTTTGTATACAGCATACATGTTAAATGGAAAGCTCTGAGCGTAATCCAGAAAAAAATAATTAATACTATTTATCCGCAAGAACTTGCTTCTTTAAAACAACTTTCTTACAATTGCTTTACAATTGTAAATAGACATTAAAAAATCAAGTAAGGACTAATAATTTACAAATGAGAGCAGCTACTATTGCTGTACATTTATCAGCGTCTCAACTTAGCTTAATTAGCTAGTGAAAATAGTTAAACATGCACTTTGGACAAAATAATAATATTAATGTGCAGATTACTGACAAAAAGCATTCTGGCTATTAGAAATAAACCCATTAACCAAAGAGACATTGTAGGAGTGTGAAAACAAAACAGCAAAGATATCAAACAGAGAGTTAATCAATTATCAATACTGTAAACACCAGACCACCAGACGCCCACAGAAAAGACAGAAAACCAAAACCTGCACTGCTGTTTAAAAAAGTTTATTGCATTGACTTTGCATGAGACACAGTTAGAAGTACAATCACAAGAATCACGCATGAGTCTGTAGGCCTTCAGGCTTCATCCGGTCCATCTCAGTCTGTTTACTGGTTCATGGCGCTGCAGTAAGCTGCATCCTGGTTGGTGGTGAGCAGCTTGTCCACTCTGACTCCGAAAGAGGACAGCTTGCTGTGCAGCTCCTCGAGGGTCTCCTCGGGCAGGGTGGGATGTCTGCTCATGATCCAGACGAAATCCACATGCAGCACGCCGAGGTCGGTGCAGCTGTAGACCAGAGTGTAGTTGTCGTAGTCGGTGGACAGCACCCAGTAAGGAGCATGGGGAGCGTCTGGAGGTGTAAAGGGACAGGAGAGTCAAATGATGACATTTTCTGAATTGGTATAAATCTACATCTGAATAGCAATCTTTGCAGGTTTGTAATAAATTAGATGTTCTTACTCTCAAAGAAGGAAACCTGCAGCTTGGCAGGCTCAGAGGGGTTCTTTGCTGTGGCAGAGCCACTGATGGAGCTAACGGTCCCATCAGCGCTAAAAGAAACAAAAAAGAATACTTAAAGTATTAAGTCAAAGTAATTTTGGGCAGAATGATCCCTTTTCAGTGAATTATATTATAATAGAGGTCATATTATTGGAATATTATTACTGATGCTGAAACACATAAGCAACATTTTAATTGTGAGAGATGTTGGATGTGGAGCACAAGTACTTTATATACTGTTGTATATAGTTCAATCTACACAGTATCATCATATTGATCATATGTTTTGTTTGCATGGTCCTAATCTGTAAAGTCAATGTTTCAATGTATTGGAGTCAAAAGTATAGAATAGCATAAAAAAAATGTATACTCAAGTGAAGTAAAATGTTCTCAATATTGTATTACAGTCATTGAGTAAATGTAAGTTACAATCATATCCTGGAAGGAATATATTTGCAAAATATAGTTTGAGCTAATAGTTTAACTAACAGAATTAGACAATTTAACCAATTCAACTGTTACAGGTCTCACAACATATTTATTGATTAACTTCTTTTTAGCTTGGTCAGTAAAATAGACCTCCTGTATATCTCATGTGTTGCTTCAGAAAGGGAATTTTAGTGGGACTTTTGTGGTCCAACTCTTCATAAAAAAACACATTTTGATGCAGCAGCTCGCTGTTGAAGACACCAACGACTCCGGGGCTCTTCAGGCTGTAGGTGGCAGTGCAGCACTCGCCCTTCTGGAAGGTATTTGGCAGTCTCTGGACATCATACCACTTACCAAGATACTGCAGAGCAAGAGCATGAAATTAAGATGTTGTTGATGAAGAGCTGCAGAATCTTGAGGATTTAAGTGGCAATTTTTGTTTAGTGTTACAAGTTGTCACCCTGGAAGGCCTAATTTGTTAACTTCTGGATTTGTTTGTCTCCATACAGAATATATTGAAGTAAAAACAAAGGTTAGGTATTCACCCTGGCAGTATCAAAGTTCTCCTGCACGGCAGGCTTGGGGCATCTTCCTGGCATGATGACCTGAGCGTTGGCCGCCAAAACGGACAGCAGAGTGAGGGAAATCACCTGGATGACATTCATCTTTTCTCCACAACCTGTAGAGAACGAAAAATACTGTTTGGCTATTCAGATTTAAGAATTAAAGATAGTGAATTAATTTAGATATTCAGAAAAAGAGACAGCGGTGGAGAAAAAGGGGAGAATCACACCTGCTGCTAGCGTACCTGTATTACTGGGGAGCAGTTAAGTTCTGAGTTTTTGCCGGTGTTTTTATAGATCAGTTTTTCAGCAGCTCCTCCTTCATACTATACTAGCGAGGTTCTTTTTGAGAAAGTTGTGTGAGAAGTGGCACCTGTTCCCATAAAAGCCTCTGACAGAAAAATAAATGACTAACAAGTTAGTGTAAAAGTTAGATTACTGAAGTGCTGCTGTGGATAAGTACAGTAGATTGTTAGGAACTGTATTTAACATTCAGAGGATTTGAGCGTTACTGTGAGCGTGTTAAATTGCTAATATTAGCAGTTAGCTCAAAAGTCTTATTGCAAGTGTTTTAAATTGCTATATTTTTGTATCCATCTTTAAAGACGACACTCAACCATGATTCAATGTTAGTGAAAAAGCATTGTTTACATTGTAAAGCAACATTTTGCATGCCTTAGCATGACTTCCCTTTGCCTCAGATCAGCCCACTTGAGACTAACTGTCACAGGGCTATGGTATTTATTCTTCTTTTATTGATGGAGATGGCAAGTTACCTGCCTAAAATACTTTCTCACTAATTATTATTATTATATTTATTCCCTTGATGATGATCTTAATTGTTTTTATGACTCCAAGTCTATAATCAGACGAAGAATGATGTATTTTTTTTGCATTCAGTATTTGTGATAAATAATGTATAAAAGCAGCACATTTGAACAGTAGTGGAAAGTAACCTTTGCTCAAGTACTGTACTTAAGTTCAATTTTGAGGTATTTTTACCATTCTCCCCTACTTTATATATGAAATATTTTACTTTATATTCCACAACACTCATTTTAAAGCTTTAGTTATTAGTTACTTTATAGATAATTATTGATACAAAATATATTCAACAAATAAATATATGAAACAAATATCATGTATAGGTTAAACTACACAGCAGTATATGAAGCAATTAGAATGAGTCCCACCTCCACTAGCTACAACATAAATATGCTGCACATCACTATGATATGTTGATTTTATCACGATATGATTCATCTGAAAGGCAATAAATTATCATATTGAATAATCACCCAGGCCTAAAACTTTTGTATACTTAACTGAAATCTTCAATGTAGGAATATTTTTACAGAGCGGTATTTTTAAAAGACCACTGCTTAAAAGTCGTTCTGTGTCAGTGATTATTTCCTGAGTGTAATACAACCAGGATCTAAAGGCTTTGTCAGTTATTTCAGGGACTCTTTATCCTAAAGAATCCTACCCAGGATCTCAAGGTAATCAAGACCTAAACAAGATTTCCACAGAGTGTAAACGACATAATGCTTCTACATTTGAGGGATTACAGCTTTGGTACAGTTTTCATTCAATGGGGAAGAATACCGGAAATGAAGGCGATGTAGACAATATATTGTTTCTGTAATTAGAAGATGGACGGGTGTGTGTGCGCTAACTTAGTGAATTTATAGCCAGGCGTGTTTCTGGACCTTAAACCTGCTCTGATCCCTTCGCCTCACTGTGACTCTATAATGCTGGCTGCAAACAAGACGGACAGAAATCCCTCATAAAAAGCTTACAACGAGGAGATTCTTTAATTAGCGGTTTAGATGTCCTAATGCTCTGCTCTCTTAATTCCTAAGCCCTTTATTAGTCTCTTTTCAGTAAAAATGATCAACCTACTTGTTTTTACTGCACAAACACACACGTGTTCCTCAGATATGTTTATGTATAGTGATTGTAACAAAACTTAAAACGTTAAAGTTGTAAAGTTAAAGGGCTTGTTAACAACTCCTGTCGATTAATTAAACAGAAATTACACAGTTTTAAGAGTTCCTGTATGTTATGATTGTAACCGCTTCCCTCCAACTAACGAAACTCACACATCCAGCAGCGGCAGATCTCAGTGAAAGGTCACAGGTGATTGACCCAGCTTATTAAAACGAATGGTCGGGTCACTGGTACCAGCTCTGTGCAACATCCCTCCACAATTATGCTACAGGACCACGAGGCCACACCCGGTCCCACTCCTGCCTGCGAAGAACAAGAGGATGAGGCACCTGATCAACACACCTGGATCACTGAACAGAGAGGAAACCTTCCCACAGCAACTCATTAATGTGTCTGTGTATCTGTGCTGCAGCATGCTGAGGGTAGAAGTCTGAATTTGATGAAATGTAATGTACTGTAATGGTGTGATGAGTGATTTCCTACATACACACACAAACAGGACCTATGCATTAATGGAGATATGTCAAAGCTATTGGGCTGCCCATGGACATGCCCGAGCAGTTAGGGGTTTGATGATTGCTCAGGGCATCTCTCCAGTTACCAGTCTACACTCTGTACGGGGACCAGCCACCCTCCGGTACCCAAGCCAAGCAGACTGAGCTACTGCCACCCCAAATAAGCAGTTCAAAGAATGATTGCATCGATTTTCTTTTAAATCTAGTAAATGCATTATATTATCCGATTTTTTTAATTTTTACCCAGCTGAAAAAAGAACACACTTTAGCACACTAATCAGCAGGTAGCAGCTCTGTCAGTCTGTATTTAGGCACAGTAAGCTAGATTAGCATTAAACTCAAAGTACAGCTGAGGCTGATGGGAATGTTTTGCAGGTTTTTGGTCATAAACCGAAGTATTTGGTAGAGTAGATTTGGAGCTGACAGAGGCGGTTGATGAAAATAACTAATACTGAATAATGCTCTACCAAAAATAAGAAAATACAATAAGTAAATAAAAATGTATATACATGCATATACTGTGTATATATATACCCCCTGTTGGGGGGTTTACATTCTTCTCATGAATAAAAACAGAAAAGATTGAAATGATTTTCTCCGCCATAAAAAGATAAATAAATAGGGTTTTTTTATTCTGGTTTTGGCCTTTTTTGTAATGTGCTGGCTGTTATCGAGTCCTGCAATAAATCCTACCTTCATGAAGGTTTTGATTCAACTGACATTTTGGAGGACGTAGTTTGTGGTGCAGAAAATAATAGAAACACCTGTCAGTTTAATACAATACCTCCGAAATAACCATACAGCTTGATGTACCTAATAAACTGGAAATGTGTGTAAATGTTTAACAACACAGGGGATCACTGACCTCCAGGATCACTCAACTCTCCAGGACCTCTTTGCTGTCTTGCAGACTGTAGAAGCCGATAGAAACACCACACTGGCCCCTCCTTCATATCATGTCTGCTGTTAAGCAAAATTACCTCTCAGCCAACCAACTGTGCACACCTTTCTGCCCACCCGGTATTAAAGAAAACATCATTCAGGGCCTTGCTGTAAGCGGTTGGTGAGCACAAACTGTCAGATTAAGGGGTCTGAGAGGATCATCCGGCCAAGATTTAGTCGGATTTCCAGCAAATTACCACCAAGCATGTTTGGGTCGACCCCTTGGCACCCTGGGGAGCGCAATATTTCTGACACCCAGGCTAGACATGTGAGGGAAAAACAAAAACAAGGCTCATCAGTTGGATTTTTAAAGTCTACAACCAGCATCATGTAACTGCTCTGCATGTGGCCTTAGAGCAGTTAAGAAGGGGTTGGACATTTTACCACTGGAAAAGGAAGCTAAGCATTTAGGTGTCTTAACTATGGTCTAAAGTGCTAACAAGGGATTAGTGAGGTAAACGTTGAAAGAGGTTTAGCACTCCATGCTTACGACCATGGTGCTTCTTCAGTAATTACACATCAGTTGCAAAGTGCTGCAAGCAGTTGGACGGGAGATCATAGTGATGTCAGGACAGGGAGGGCTTACCGCAGGAGATAAGGCCATCTAATGGAGATGAAATGAATCGGTATTTAAAAGTTCTTTTTTAGTTAAGGCAGTTAGCTGGCAGCAGACTGAGCTCAGACCCGTTGGCTGGTTAGTGGGAGGCCATTTACAGTCATTGGAAGTGAAAGAGGGACAGAAGTGAGAGACAGTCTGTGAGCTGACCAAAGGGTTTTTCCTTTACCTTTTCCACTTGGCTTTTTGCCTGAATTGGGACAAAAACCAGTTCCAAGCTCTGCTCACTGGTGTGAACTTGAAGGTAAGTCCATCAAAACTTCCTCTTTCAATATTTCTCCGTCCATTTCCCCTTTTCTGTCCTTGTGATTGATTTGTTTAAATTGTGTTTTAGTTGTTGTACGTCACATTTAATCTGCCGTTGTTCTTGTAAAAGCACAAAATCGACTTAGCTTATTCCAGAGTATGTAATATAAGTCTAATGCCTCAGTATGTATATGTATGTATATCAAAAATAACAGTAACAACCTTAGAATCCGTGCACTTAGATGAATATTTTCATCGCAATGCTAAAAAAATGCAAAACTTTCAAATGGTAAATGTTGTTATACATAATGTGAGCTGTAAACTGTATGAAAGGCTACCGATCCCTCAGTAAATTATTACTCTAAAAGCCAATGTGATTAGAGGAACAGCCTTGAAATCTAGATAATTAATCTAAATATTAGCCCAGATTCAGTAAATAGCGCTTAAGGAAATGAAAATGATGCTAAAATACATGATGAATTAGCTTGAGGTTCTTATCAACTGATGATTTAGGTCTACATTAAACCATATATTTCTATACAGGCCTATTGATATTATTTAATTTGATCCTTTCAATCAGCTTTCTCAACACTTTTTCATGTGAGGTTATCACACCACAACTAATTCTTAAATCAATACTACCGGCAGCTCGCCGCTTCAAATTCTCATAAAATCTAAACTGCTTCTTGTAACTGACAGAATACAACATTGCTTTATCATGTTGTGTTAAGGGGGATTAAGAAGGACCAGACAATTCTTCTGTCTTGTCTGATATGACCTCCTCAGGGCTCCATTTACGTCGTCAGCAATTTTTCCCTTTAATTCATTCTTGTAAT